TAATAAGTTTTGTGATTTAAAAGAATGGGCATCATTAGAAGAACTAGCCCAAATGTGACAACAGTATGTCATACAGGGTTAATTAAGTTTGAACTAGCCCAAATGTGGCAACAGTATTCCATACAGGGACAATTAAATTTGTAGGAATCAGGAGTGAGAAAATGGTGAGCACATTTTATTGAATAACAACCTTAGCCGGAGAAAAAGTTTCCACAAGAGGTGGTTGCAAAAAAGTAATCCAAGAAGGCATAAAGTAGAAGACTCTATAGGAGTGTTATCATTTATCAATATAAGAATATCAACAACAGTGATAATTATTAGCAGCACACTATTATATAGTTTTTTATTTATTTTTAATGTCAATTTATATCTGTGATTGTTTAATAAATTAGAATTTTTTTACTTGGCATCTTTATTTATTTATTTTTAATACAAACTTTGACATTGTTAAACTTTTTTATACCTAGACACTTTTATCACATGCAGGGATTAGGGAAACGTCAGGGATTTCAGATGTCTGCAAAAAAAAAAAAAAAAAAAAAAAAAAATCAGGGAAATAGGGTTGAATTTAGGAAAAATCAGGGTAATCTCAGGGGAAATAGCTAAATAGATAAGACTGATGGATGTCTGGCCGGCTAGACATCTATCATTTTGTACATAATGTGGGCAGATGACCTATTATTATTTGTTAATTATTATGACCTATAAATTTGGTTGCAATAACATGTTTTTATAAAAAAAATCAAGTGCTTTTTTTTTTGAAATTGAAATTTTGACAAATAATTAAATCATGGAAACAGGTCAAATTCAGGGAAATAAGACATGGCATACACGTCCTCAGCAGTGCTGAAAACGCATTGCACCTGCATAGTGCTGAGTCAGCACTATGCAGGTGCAATCGCACTGTGACCTAAACTCAAAAGTCCCCTCAGATTTAAAAAAATACTAGTACTAGAAGCTATAAAATGTATTAGTGTTAGCAAGGATTATAGTTATTGGGTTAAATAGTGACGGATCCAAGGTATACACGGTTTTTTTTTTTTTTTTTTTTTTAGTGTAATTTATTTCGCCGTTAAAAAATGTTTACATTGCATATACATTTATATAAATTGATGGCTGGAGCAAGAAGAAGGCACATTTCGCCTTATCGCCGAGCCCCATTAAAAATTCTACATAAACGTAACATACAAATATATATATAAAAGAAACAATTAGAAATGAAATAGAAAATAACTAATATAATAAAAATAATAAAAAATAAGAATTAATTAAGAAGCGTTAAGATGCTTAACAGTTGCTAAAATGTTTAAGAAATAAGTTAATATAAAAAAAAAAAAAAAAAAAAATTCCTGAATATAAAAGAAATTGAAAAAATAAAATCTCATAATTAACACTAAATGAATATGTAACATCATCACTTATGACATCATCACTTGTGACATCATCACTTGGACTTCTTATTCTTTTTTTTTTTTTCTTTTTTTCCTTTTTCTTTCTTTTCTTATTCATATTATCATATATCATTGATATAATTGAATGTTTTTTTTTATTTTTTTTTATTGTGTTTACTTTAAAATAAACATTTAAAGTCGGATTTATTGAGATCCATGAACAATAATAATCGTTTTGATTCATCCTTAAATTGCTCTAATGTAGCCTGCTTTTTGTTAACAATATCTGGAAATTTCTTCCACAGATAAGGTCCGCGGTATTTAATTGAATAGGAAGTTAATTTTAGTTTATGTTTTGGAACAACAAAGTTGTTTTCTGAAAACTTTGTTGAGTACCTATGGTTAATTTTATTAAAATAAGATTGAAATATTTTAGGAGACAATTCCTTTTTTGTTTTAAACATAAACAATAAAACTTGGTGTAAATTGAGTTTATATACATTTAAAGCACCGAGCACACTTAGAAGTGGTTCGCAAGGAACATTTCTGTCGGCTCCAAATACTATTCTACATGCATGTTTTTGTTTATTGTAGAGTTTCTTTAGGTTTGTATGGCTAGTACTAGCCCACACAACATAACAATAAGACAAATAAATGTGAATAAAGGCGAAATATAATTTTTTCAGAGATGATATATTTAGAAAGGGTTTAGCCCTAAACATCATTGCAATATTTTTTGAGATTTTTTTTTCAATGCTATTTATATGTGAACACCATTTTAAATTTTCATCCAATTTTACTCCTAAAAAGTTTATGTAAGATTCCCTTTTAATATAAGTTTTATTAATATTAAGATCTGGTAATTTAAGAGGAATATTTTCTGTTCTATTTACTTTATGGAAAAGCATATATTTTGTTTTTTCCGCATTTAGTGAAAGTTTATTACTTACGAACCATGCACTAACATTACATAACTGTTCGTTAACTATTTTAAAAAGTGATTTAATATCTCTGTAAGAACAAAAAAGATTTGAATCATTAGCAAACAAAATTAGGTCTAAAAGATTTGTTGATAGGTATAAGTCGTTTATGCACAATATAAATAAAAGTGGTCCTAAAATAAAACCCTGAGGAACCCCGCAAGTTATGGAGTGTGGAATTGTATTATTTTGATTATAGTATAAAAATTGCTTTCTGTTAGTCAGATAATCTTTGAACCAAAGTAAGTTTTTATTTTTTACACCGTAGTTTTTGAGTTTTTTTATTAGTATATAGTGATTTACGGTATCAAAAGCTTTTGACAGATCAATGAAAACTCCTAATGTAAAACAGTCATTATCTAAGGCATTAGATATTTGATTGGAAAGTTCAACTACTGCGTTCAACTACGGTTTAAGGCTGACGACACGGATTTCGAAGTGGAGGGACGGGGGTCACGATCATCAACTTGTAAAAAAAGTCCTCCATTTCAAAATTTTTAAAAAAGAAAAAAAAAAGTCTTTTATCAAGAAAGTGGGGTTTACACCCACCCAAACTTCCTACTCGGTGAAGTTAAGGCAATTTACAAATTATTCGAATACTTTTATTTAAAATTAGCGTGATTTTATTAGCTTCTAATAGCTTATTGTCCCAATATTAGCTTTATTGTCCAATTTATAGCTTTATTTTCCAATTATTAGCTTTATTAGCTTATTGTCCGAACAAAAACTTTAGACGGTTTAACTTTTTTTGCTTAAGATTTTCTAATATTTAAAGAAACTTTTTTTTTAATATAATTTTCAAAACCTTTTTACTACCAGCAATAGTGAATTTAAAGAACACTATTTTGGAGCCTTTAGATCAGTTCTGCTCATCGGCAATAACATGAATTTAGTCAAAATCTTTTGAAAAGTTCCTTAATTTACTAATTCTAATCGGTTCTGACGTATATTAAATATATATAGTTGTCAAAACACAATATTTTTATAAATTTTAACAAAAAATACTAGAATTCCGACCAAGAAAGAGCTTATAATTATGGAAAATTGCCAATTAACGACCAGAACAAATTATATTGTTAAACTGTAATGTTCCTTTCACCTAAAAAACGTATTAATTTAAAATCTTATTTAAATTTGGACGAGCGATTGTGATTTTAAGATGATTTTTAAAAAAAGAAAGAAAAAAAAAAAAGAATTTTCGGTCTGGGTTTTTTCGCTACAAACATTTATATTTTATTATACTGCGAAATATATCACTTTAATCTATTCATAATTTACAGACCTGATCATTTAACGGAAATATGTCGTAGTCAACAAAATATCTTACAGACCCTATAATATTTTTTAAGAGTGCCTTTACTAGACCGAGCATCCGTCACTAGGAATAAATATAAGTTCTTGATACTAAGTTCTTAGTAACAAAATGTAACTAAATATAGATATATATTTAAAATTAATTTCTTGCTTTAGATAATATTTACAATGAATAAAAAACCGTATTTGGGAACTAAAAAAAAAGGTGAAAGTTGACATACCCTAATAACCCTGACAATCATATAAATATTCTTTATAATCCGGAAAATTCTAAGTTAGATACTCGGGCAAATAAGCAAAAATAAAAAAAAGTAATGTTTGTTAAAAATATATGTAAAAAGTAATAAAATTGTACATTGTATTGATGTCAAATCCTATTGATGTCAAATGCTAAATTTGCCATTTGACACCAGCTGTCAAATGGCAAATTTAGCTGACAATCTATGTAACAATATAACCTGAAGATTAAAGCTTATTTTGTCTATAAAACTGCAGTTTTTCAAAATTAATGATGCATAATTGTGCAAGCAAAGATATTAAAATGCGAATATAAAATAAAAAATTAATCAAACTTCATAAAATAGTACAATAATAATCAAAGAGTAAAATCCTGGTCAGAACTCGGCACCTCCTGACCTTTTTCGAGACCTACTCGAGGGGGGCAACCAATTGCTGTTCTTTTTTTAGAAAAAATGAGCAGTAGTTGGTTGTCTCTGTCAAATGGGCCTCGGAAAAGGTCTGAGAGGTTGCCTAGTCCTGATCAGGATTTTGCTTGCTGCATAGATATTAAAACGCCAATATAAATAAAAAATTACCAAAATTTCATAAAATAGCACAATAATAACTATAAATTTAAGAGCAAACACCTGCCTGCAAAATTCAGGTCAGAACTTGACATGCCCGGACCATTTTTAGGACCTGCCCAAGGGGAGCAATCAACCACTGTTCTGTTTTGCCAAGTGATGATTAGAATTTTGCAGGCTGCAAAGATATTAAAATGCAAATATGTAACAAAAAATTAACCAAATTCCATAAAATAGCACAATAATAACCAAAATTGAAAGAGCAAACAAAACAGCACGCAAAATCTAGGTGAGAGCTCGACACTCCTGGGCCTTTTTTGGGACCAGCCCAAGAGTGGCAAATGACCACTGTTCTTTTTTTCAAAAAAAAAAATGAACAGTGGTTGGTTGCCACTCTCGAACAGGTCTCAGGAAGGGTCCGGGAAGCGCCAAGTAACAACCAGGATTTTGCAGGCTGCACACGGTACAACTAGTTCAAAAAACATTCAAAAATAACATCAAAGAACAACAATTTATACTGCTGTTGCTTTTACAAGAGGTGGTTGCAGGTTAACAATAGCAGCAGCAATTATCCATATATTATCGATTAGAGGGACTAATGTGATAGGCAGAGTGTTCTTTAGAAGTCGATATTCTTTCAGCCTTCCAATGACACGTTCAATGTGTATTCTTGCACGTGCTATGCGCTTGCAATGATACACTTCAGAGGGTGTAAACTGTCGCTTACTACGTAAAAATGGTGGAATTACAGCTTTTACCTGCCTTGATAGAAATAAATCTTGAACATTGAAACCTTTATCAAAAAGTGCAATAAAACCAGGAGTGAATCTTCTTGCAACATTGCAATTTTCAGTGATAAAACGATCTGAGGAAGATCCAGAGTAACCTTTAGAAACAAAAGAGATAGAACCGCCTTTAGTACAAAATATAAGCTTTTTTAATGTGTTTCTACTTTTATAAGAACTATATGTTTGATATTGAGCTTTAGCATTAGCAGATTTTTGAATAGTTTGTTCAGTACAGTCACCAATACCTTCAACATAAACGAAATCTCCAATAAAATAAGGATGTGTAAAACTTAATGTTTCTTCTGGAGCAGGCCAATAAATTAATGGTTCAAGTTCTCGGGCTAATAAAGTTATAAATGTAGTTAAAATCCCTTTTAACTACACATGACTTACTGAAATTTTAAAACAAAATGTTAAATCTTGTAATGGTGAGTCAAGTCGAATACGCATTAAAGTAAGTAACACTTCATCTTCAACAAAAAGCTGTCGTGCTGGACCAGGTTTCTCTGTACTTGAAGGTTTACTAGCAGGACTAAATTGATATTGCTTTGGTTCAAATGAACATTTATAATCCATAAAAAAAGACACTTTTTTATGTTTAGCATGAACACGACTAACAATTTATAAAAAAACATTTTCAGTGGGACACCCAGTATACAATTTTATGACTTTGGGTAAAGAACGCACTGCCTCCCATGTTAATCTTTTAAGTGTTGTTGGTGTTAGATAAGTTGCTGGTGTGTTAGTAATTAAATTGATTTGTTGTGGAGAAAGTTGCTGATTAGATGCTGTTGATGATAGACATGGAGGAGATATTGACAGAGAAGACTGTTGGGGAATATTGTCATTATTGTTACTGCTACTAGTAGTGGTACAGGTACTTGAAAAATGTGTATTTTTATATTTTTTAGAAACTTTAGTAGGTGTATATCGAGGAATTGGTAATTTTCTTTTATTTTGAGGAGGAGATATTTCGTATCCTTTCAAATATAACTTTGGATAAGGGGATAGCTCAGTTGGCTTCCCATACTCAAAATGATTTGCACATACTTTTGTATTCTTATTTACAGCATGTAGCTTTCTTTTTTTTGTTAAAGGATCGACTATTTCTCTGTTAATAATTTTACTCCATGTGGAAAAATATTTCTCTTTACAAGTAAAAAATTTTAATTCGCTGAAACTAAAAGTCTTATAAATATGATCTTTCAAAACATACTTTTCTTTGTATCGACGATCGTTGTTACAACCAAAAATTGCACAATTATCGCTCTTACACATTACAATAGAGTGGTAAGCAGAAGATAGTATGCGTCAGGATGTGTTTTTTAATTATGCGAATTTTATTTGTTATGTCATGGTAATGTTAAATTACGTTGCGTATTTGTTTTCATTCGTTATTTCCACGTGCTTTATGTTTTATAAACTTTAAATGGATGAAAATAAAGATAATAGTAAGTTTACATGTTAAAAAATATAGCTAAAAAATATAGCTATCGTAGTTTTTTTTGTAAATTACATTCTTTTATATTATTTTCTTTTTCATATGAAAAAGAAATTAATATAAGAGAATGTATTTTTTTAAAACATTTTAAAACAAAAAAAGCTACAATGATCATCTGAGTATTTCAGAAAAAAATGGAGCACTCTATTCAAAATGATGTGCAATAGTTGTGTAAAAAATTTTTTTTTCTCCCCCCAGTCAGTTATTATATAATACAAGTTATAAAATAAACTTTCATCTTAGCTATTTTAGCTGCAGGAAAAATAATGGGTATAGTAAAGTTCAAACTTGGACAAAAAAAAATTTATATATTAACTTATATATTTAAAAATTTATATATTAAAATTTATATATTATTATATATTATTATATAATATATATTATATATTAAAAGACAAAAAAAAAAATTATATACTAACATATTTTTTGAAAAATGTTGGAAAAGGAAAAAGTATAACTTTGTGAATTTACCAAGCTTGGTAAATTCACAAAGTTATACTTTTCCTTTTCCAACATTTTCCAAAAAATATGTTTATATATAAATTTTTCAGTGATACTCAAGTAATTTTGTTAAAAGTTTGTAAAATGTATGCCCATTTATTTACTAGCATTTAGTTTTAGACCATATTTACTAACCAGCCTCAATGCTTTTAAATTGTAAAGTTATTTATATTGTTGTTTATAGGTAACAGAAAAAGCCATACATTTATTTATAATGATGAAAATGAGGCCTTTTGTTTCATAAAACAACATGAATTAGAGTACACAGTTTGCTATGCAACATGGTTCACACCCAAAGGGTTTGGTAATACAGGTTAGAACCTTTTTTTATTTACTTTATATCAATTATAAATGCCTAAGTTAAAGAACTTTAAATTTATTTACTAAATTTATGTTATAGATAGAGTAAATACATTAACCAATTAATTTACCAGGACATTCTTTACTTCCAAATTTCCTTAAAAGTGAAAATAATTTGATTTATCAAAAGTTTTCTTTTTAATACAGGTTTTCTTTTCAAAAGTTTTCTTTTCAATACAGGAAAGATTAATATAAAGCATTATTAAGCAAAAAATGTACTGATAAAGACAAAAAAGCATTTAGAGAGTAGGTTATAAGTGCATTAATATTTTCATTAAATTTCCCCCTAGGTTAGCCCTTTAGGCTAGAGAGAAGGTTTTTTCTTCTCAAATTTAGAAACGAGAAAATATAAATTTGCAAATGTTCCTTTTTTAAGTTATAATACAAATGTTAAATAACTAACAAAAAAAAATAATATGAAAGTTCATGTTAAAGGTTATTGCCTTAGGAATCAAATAAAAATGGCTAAATTTTGGGTTAACTTTGATGTCAATCTTTAAGTTATTGCAGGTTTGAGTTATGGAGAGATTTATATAAGAAAAATCAACAGGAATTCCAAAAAATTTGAGTTACTGGAAGTTTGAGTTACCAGGGGTTTGAATTATTATGAATTTACTTTATTTTGAATTATTTAAAACAAAATATAGGTTTGTTGAATATATAATTGACTAATCACAATTGGTGTAAAATAAATTGTGTTATATCTAGATGTTCATAGTAAAAAGCACAAAGTGTTATGGGAAAGTGAAGGATGCTATGCAAATGTTTCATTTATGGTTTTAGCACGCAAGGTTTTGGATTGCTCACATGGAATAGATCGAAATGATGCAGCAAAGAAAGCATACAAGAATAAGACAAAAACAAAGGTAAATTTTATTATCAATAAAAAAAGATACAAATAATAAATTAATCATTAATAAATAACTGTTATTAATGTACTTATTTTATAATTTTAGATAACTGAACACTCTTGTATGAGGAGTTATATTAATGTGCAGGACACAAAAAAATTTGAATGCCCAGCCCAAGTTATTTTGAAGGAAATTATATACTTCAAGGATTACATGGTAATTTTAAAGTGATTTACTAAGGTGGTAAGAATTTTTGGTACTATATATAATGCACCAACATTAAAAAAATTTTAAGAATAGCATTTTAAACATGTTTTGTAATTTATAATTCACGCCAATATTAGAACTACTTTTAATTCAACGCAAAAAGAGTGCAAAGCCATATAAGTAAAACACACTCGCAGCGTTGTTTTAATAAGACAAAATTGAGATGTAATTTATTTAAATGCAGGTCTAGACCGGAGTTTTAGTAATGCTTATTATGTTTCATTTGAACATACTGCTATCCATGTAACTTTTTTTTTTGGACATATCACTGCATATACTGTATAATTTTTTTGGGCATGTCACTGCATAAACTGTAACATTAATTACCTCTTTTTTGTTTATTTCTTTTTTCATAATTTTAAAGCTTGCTGAACCCAACACATGGAAAAAGAAAAAAATTTCTTTAAAAATAAAAAACTTGCTCAAGAACAAGAGCGACATTGGATTCACTGAGAAGCGAATTAAGCTAATTATTAATGACATTTCAGAACACAGAAACCATGCTGTTAGAGAAGTAAGTTAAATTTTATTATTAAATTGTTTATAAAGTAAATGTTTTGAAAAATTTAGAAATTATTATTTTTTTTTTCAAAAAGAATTTTTGATAAATATTTAGCTATTCACTTTTAAAGTCATGTAGCTGTTGGGTATAAGTTTAGTATTATAGTATAGTATACTTTAGTTAATATAGTTACTATACTTACCAAATTGTAAGATGATATTTTGCATGGATAATATTGTTTAATATGTCAATTAAAATACACCAAGTATTATCATTAGTGGTATACCACTGTATTGCAGTTGAGGTTGATGTGAAAATTAAAGTGTTCAAAATGTTTATTATAAATTATTATAATAAACATTTTGATAAATTATTATAATAAACATTAATTATAAATTATTAAATCATAATTTTACAAATAAAATAGCATGTTTATGTATTGGGCATCGCTGGAACTTTTATTTATCAACCTATTTTCCTTGCGTATCAATGTTTTTGTATTTTATACCATTATGTTGTCTGGGACGGATTCATTTATTGATGACATCATTGTCAATAATAACATAATGTCAAGTTGCAGAGTTCAAGAACTCTTGAAAAAATATGGCTTGGATTCTAAGCTGCCAGAAAAACTTGTTGGTGGGCGTGTGCTTGGATTGCGAGTGTACAAACAATGCAACCAAGTGCGCTGGAAATGTGACAACATACTCAAAGTTCCTGAAGGAAAAATGACGCGTCCGCAAGTCTTTTCTTGGTGCGGACGGCTGACTGGACATTTTCCAATAGCAAATTGGTTGCGCCTTTGTGCAGCTATCTAAAAAGGGTTTCGAGTAGTTGTGGATGGGACACTTTGGTAAACGATGGTGTTGTCAAATTAGTAAGCAGTTTAAATGAAAGACTTACAAAGGAAGATCCGGTTCATGAGTCATGGAACGTAAAAAACGCTTCTGAAGTAACAGTGTGGTGCGATGCAAGCAGTTTAGCTGTTGGCATAGTTCTGGAAGTGGCTTGGGAAATAGTAGAAGACTGCTCGTGGCTGAGAAAACAAGATGATGCGGCTCACATTAACCTCGCAGAGTTAGAAGCTGTGATAAAAGGAATCAATCTACCAACAAAATAGGGATTCGAATGTATTACCATAAAGTGTGACTCGGCTACTGTTGTTGGCTGGTTGAAATCCTTAATCATTGGTGACAAACCCATTCGAGTACACGGTCTTGGAGAACCACTTGTCCGTCGCCGGTTATCGTTAATTGAAGACCTTGTGAAGGAGTGCGGTATACAATTAAAACTTTTCCGGGTTAAGTCAGCAGAAAATAAAGCCGATGCTCTTACGAGGGTACCACAGAATTGGCTGCATTCAAACCATTCTGCAATGACAGCAAATCTCGTACCGCCTGATGTGAAGTCGTTTCATAATCTTCATCACTTTGGAGTAAATTGAACCCTTTATTTGGTGAAACAGACATATCTGAAGGAGAAAGTTTGTAGAAAAGATTGAATCAGTCTTCAAGAGTTGCGAAAGATGTTTATCAGTAGATCCTGCTCCAATCATATGGGAAGAAGGAAATGAAGTTGGAAAGAGCTGGTACCGTTTAGCTATTGACGTTACCCACTATAAATCAGAGATTTATTTGTCTATCATTGACTGTGGCAAAAGGAGCAAGTTTGCAATTTGGAGGAAGCTACATAACGAGAAAGGAGCAACAGTGTGTTTCCATCTAGAAGAAATATTTCAAGAAAGAGGACCTCCGTGGCAAGTTCTTCTTGACAACAGCAAGACCTTTCGCTCAAAACTTGTTGGTGAATTATGCGCAGAATGGGGAGTGTCCATCCTGTTCATTGCCCTCACAAGCCATCTGAAAATGGAATTGTTGAACGTCATCATCGCACAATCAAGCGCATGGCAGCAAGAAGTGGAAAAGATCTGTTAAAAATGGTATATTGGTATAACGTGGCTCCCAGAAAAAATGGCAAGGAAACATCGCTCCCCTACAAATATATATTTTTCTATGAATGGAAACCACACACAATTTTTGACAAAACTAACAAGGAAGTTCTCCACAACTACACACAAGGACAAGAAGTATTTGTAAAACCATCTGATTCAAAATGTACTAGCGAATGGAATAGAGGAAGAGTCTCAGATGAAGGACGAGGAGTTTCGGTAGAAATCAATGGATTGCCGAGACACATGTCAGACGTCCGTCCAGCTCCCATTGTAGCTAACTTGTCTACGAGAGAACCGGAAGAACCCACCGCGAACAACCTGAATCTCAGAAGATCGACACGTGTGCGGAAGTTTCTGAATAAGTAAGCCGACTTTGTGATCTAGAGAAACTATTAAGGTGTTGCGTCAGAAGGAATGTTGTAGACGTACATAACGTTTATACTGTTTATTATACTCTTGGGGGTATTTGCAAATGTATATATATATTGAGTAAAGATATTCAGAAAGACAGTAAGAAAAAACAAATATATTTTATTATTACAGAACCTTAAAATCTACAGATTTTTAAGTCTTCTGTCAAGCTTTCTTGCTTTTCAATTTTACTATAAGTTTTCTGTCACTTCTAACTTAAACTGTATATACTATGTTGTTGCAGTCTTGTTGGTATTGAATTAGGTAAAAGAAAAGGTGTGGCATGCAGCTTTGTTGGTTTTAAATTAGGTAAAAAAAAAAAGGATGAAAAAAAAATGTATTTTTAATTTTTTAGCTTGCTGGTATTTCACAGGAAATTGATCCTAGATTATCTAAAAAAATAATAGATTATGCCAATGAAGTAAAAAGTATACACGAAATGAAACGCCTACTAAAAATCTTTGTTAAAAATGACATGTTTGATAAAACATCTATGCCTGATTTAAGAAATAGGCGATTTTTCCCTACCAACAACATTATTCAATCGCATATGGTACAAGCACGAAAGAAATTACAACTTTCTTTTATTGACCAGGAATGCCTTCTTGTTAAAATAAAAACGTGGCAAAACGAGGATCCATCAGTAAATTTTTTTTTTCGACCTAAAAACAACTACACATTAAATAACGTAGCTGACAAAATACATAAAAATGAAGACATTAATGAAGAAGAAGATGATTTGAAGTTTACTGAAAATGATTCAGAAAAATCACTATTATTTGTTTACCAATCAGAATGGCAATGCAAACTTGTGCGTTGATATGGTAATGAAATGCTCCTTTTAGATGCAACCTTTAAAACCACCAGATATGTTTTACCAATTTTTTTTATAGTAGTCAAAACAAATGTTGACTACCAAATAGTTGGATGCTTTATTACAGAAAATGAAACGAAAAGAGCAATCTATGAGGCATTGCATGTTTTTAAAAAAATGAATCCAAACCTTTCTCCTAAATTTTGCATGAGAGATTACTGTAATGAGGAAATTGATGCATTGGAAGAAACTTTTCCTGGTAAGTTTTTTGAATAGTTAGAATTTCAATAAAGTCTCCGTGTTTACAATAGTTCTTTGGTTGTTATAACAGAGGGTGGAAAATTATAAAAAGAAGGTGCAAAAAAGTTTTTGGTTTTTGTTTGCGCTGGGTTTAAGTTGATTTACGCTTTTTACCAACCAACGCTCCCAGGCCTGGGAGCGTTGGTTGGTAAAAGTCTCAAATGGTTGTGCTAATCACAAATCCAATATCCTGCTCAAACTGAGAAAAATCGCTCATTCAACAACTATAAATGCTATGGAGTTAGCTGTAATGGATTTGAAACAATCTGATTTTTGGAATAACGAAAACTTTGTAAAGTTAAGAAAGTATATAGAAACTTATTGGTTACCTATCAAAGAGGTATTATCTAATAAAAGAAAATTATTTAAAAAATTAATTACATTTGTTTTTTAACAAGTTGAACAAATTTAATTGAACAAATTCAATTCTTTTAATTATGTATCAGCCTAAAAGATTTTTTTATATATTTCAATTTTTCAGCGTTGGGTTTGGGCATACCGTCAAAACCGCCTACTTGTTAATTTAAACACTAACAGTGGAGTGGAGAGGCAAAACAAATCTTTTAAATATTTTTACCTCCAACGATTTAAAAATTATTCATTAACTGGAATGCTAACAATCTTAATTGAAGAGTTTTTTTATAGATAAATATCAAAGGTAAACGACTTGTTTTATATTATTTTAAATTATTAAACTTATTTTTGTTAAAATTATTTACAATTAAAAAAAGTGTCATAATTTTATAACGAGTATTAAAAGTATATAATTGCTTAAACTACTGATTTATAATGATATTTCATTATGTTCAGTTTATTTTTTAGCTTTACTGAAAAGAACTTCAAAATGGACTTGAGGTATCGTCGATACGCAAAAATAATACCAAATTTTTTAATAAATAGGCCTCGTGCATTGGTCAAGCATTGCCTTCAGAAAATCAGTTTAGCTGGAAGCATTGATTTATCTTAAGTCACAATGATAAACCATGGGGTTTTTTCCATTAAAAATAATAAAGAAAACTACCAAATTAACTTTGGAAATGATAGATCTATGCCTAACTGCACATGTCTTTCCTGGCGTTCATCTTGCTTTCCCTACAAGCATTTTTTTGCCATTTTTAGAAAGTTTCCACTCTGGCAATGGGATGCATTGTCAGAACTCTATCTTAATTCACCATTCTTAACATTAGACAATGAAGAAAATACTTTACCTGACAAAATAAATTGTTTTCAAAATAAAGAAACTTTGTATGCAACAAATGAATGTGACATTAGTTTACCAAATTCTAAAAATCTAGACTTGTCTGAAGAAATAAATGCCAAAAAAATGTGTAATATTGATTTAAAAAAAGAAAGTGTTTCTGCTGGGGACTGTAGGGAGCTCATTGGTTTAATTAAAAATCAATTGTATGAGGTCAACAAAAGTACCAGTCTTTTTACAGAAGTATATAGCCTGTTACTGAAAGCGTCAAAGCTTCTACAAGAAAATACTACCCACGAGAGTGGCATACCTATTATTCAGCAACAACATGTTAAAAACTTTAAACT